AGCATGCCTGAGGTATTGCTCCAATGAAAGTGATCTCTACATGTCCCTTCCACCTCACACTCATAGTAAATAGAGGTCTGATGCAGAGATGGCTTTCCAAAGTGTAACAAGACCACCTGCAGCAGTCCCAGGACCTCAGGCAGAAAGCCACAGTTTGGGGGAACCAATGCCATTGTTAGTTCATGGGCAGAGTAGGTAGTTATATCTGCGGTCCTCCACATATATTTATTAAAGTTAATTCAAGTCACTTGGATGGTGAGGATGAGTTCTATTTTTATATCCTTGAATTCTAGCTTCAGGTAAAAGAGATAGAAATAAAAATGTATTCCTTCCCTTAAGTGGCATGCCAAAACTCTCTCCTTAAAACATTTTTCTGCCACTAGTTCTCAAAGCAAAAAGTTTTACATCCACATGAAGCTGATTTTATTCCATCTACACAATCTCTCATTTTTACTAGCTATTTGGGATTATGAACTAAAGATTACTTTCTAAAATCTTTCATGGATTTCTTGTCCTTTTCTTGTGGCTGACCACAAGAAAAACTGATTTCCAACGAACAAAGCACAATCGCAAACACTGCCTTATCTTTATTGTTTTCAAACACCTCAGTGAAGAGATAGATAAGTTAAATGCACTAAAACATTAAGAAAGTCTCTCTCTCTCTCTCTCTCTCTCTCTCTCTCTCTCTCTCTCTCTTTTTCTTTCCCCCCACCCCCTTCTGCTTGTGTGTCGGTCTGGCATTGGTAAATCAAATCTTAAAGTCGAAAGTGCTTTCTTATGGCTACAGAACTAATTATGATTTTTATAATTAGGTCATATGTCATTTCTGTGGTCACATTTGAGAAAATATGTTTTTCCGGTACACCTTAATGAATAAAAGGCTTGTTGAATCTGTCATCTACTTAACTTATTTTCTCAGGTTAATGTTTATAGATACTGTCTAGCCATATAACATCTATGAACATATGATAAGAAAACATTATTATACATACCCGGACGTGACTGTATTTGTTCTTGGCTGGGACACTTTGAACATTTGCCATCCAAACTATTGACAACAAATGTTAGGTTTGCCACTTTGCTATCAACATAATTTTCTATGTTGTTCATATTCACAAGATTCAGCTTCTCCAGGCGACCGTGAAGTACATCGATCTCCTCTTTTGCATTCTTTAGTTCGGAGGACAGCTTGTTAACCTCGCTCTCTAATTCTCTCACTCTGTTATCACCAGCCTCTCCCGGGGTTCCCGTGCCGGGTAACAGCAGTCCAGTCCTGCCTGGGTCTCTGTTGTCGTCAGCCTGCAGTTTGCAGTCTTGGCAAGATTTCTTTAGGCTATTTACGATTTCCTTGAGGTTCTGGACTTCTTTGAACACCTCCTCGATCCTGCCGAACTGCTCCGGGAGCTGAATAGCCAGCGGGGGCAGGTTCACCTGGTAGGGACACTGCCCTCCCTCATCGCATTTCCCCCTGCTTTCTAGTCTCACCGGGCAGGCGTCCTTTGCTCTTTCATCTTTAATTTCCTCTGTTTCATTGTTTGCCACCACCAAAAAACCGCAAGTGGCCAGGACGGCCAAGCTCAGCCAGTACCAGTCAGCTAGCTTCATCTCTGCGGCGCTGCTCGCCCCAGCAGGGAGCGTGCAGGGCTGGAGCCGCTTTAATAGTGGCAGCTGCCTGCCTGAGTCAGGCTTTCTGTGTTCCCAGAAAAGGGCGGGAGCGTTTGCATCACAAGTTGCAGAAACGCACAGGAAGAAGAGGTCGTCCTCATCAAATGCACTTTTGCCAAAAAAACTTAATTTATTCTCAATCAAAATAATATGCATCAGAATTATTGTAGTCAAGTTGAATGCACATAACAACATTCACGTTCATGGTTTATAAAGCACAAGAAAAGTCTTGCATTTCGAAAATAATTTGGTATATGTATGTTTGAAGTAAATCATTTAATTATACTTCGTTGAAAAAATAGTTCTTAAAGATCATAATTAATGTGCTGGTTTTCCAAACTGTTTGAAGAACAGAAATGTTACTAAAATAAAAACAGTCCTTTTTTCTTCTTAGAATGGGGCATTGAGGAACCTGTATTTTCTTCATGTTGGACTTTCAGGTGAAATCTTAAGCACTTTTAAAAGTTTCTAAATATTAGAAAGTGCAGCTTTCTGAGTCTTGCAATGGACTTTGACTTCATCTATTTGAAAAAGAAGAAAAGTAGTAGAGGAAAAAAGTGCTGCTTTCTATTCCTTTGACCATAGCATAGTGTATATAAATATCTAATCACCTAAAACATTTAAAAGCACATCATTGTCTTCCATCAACACCAGTAGCTGCCTCCTTTGCCTGTCACCATTCTGTAATTGCAGTGGCATCTCTGAGCTGTTCCAGTCTGTTCTGATGCTTCTCCCGACGGCAGTGTCTCTGCCTTCCCTCTCCAACGGCAGCCTGGACAGGCAGGCCTCTTGCTTCTGTCTCCACCTGCTCTCTAGGCCACTTGGTATATCGCCATGTTCAAAACATGTCAGCACTAGTGACAGTTTTCAAACTTTTCTCCTCAGAGACTGAGGGCAGGAAGGGGGGACCAGCTTCAATTAGAGAAACCACCTCCTTTTAATTTGTTTTGCATATCAACATGTCATGTCAGGTGTCTTATTAAAGAAGGATTTTATTGCTTTAAAAATAATTTCAAAATGACCGACATGAATAAAAATCCACATTCTTTATTGTACTGGTTAAAACACTCTGTAATCTATCTCATATTTATCTCTTTAACCCAATTTCCTGTGACTTTTCTATATACCCCCTTCATTCTAGCCAAACCCTGTTCATGTTCTTGAAATGTAACAGGCTCACTTTAAACTTCCACGACTGTATCTACTCTTGAATACTCAGGAGACCTGGCTTCCAACTCCAGATTTACCTCTGATTGTAAATTTAGATCATTAACTTTACTGAGCCTTTGTTCTTGCACCTGTAGCAGCGAAGTTTATCTATTCTTCCTTCATACAGGAATGACAGTTACACAAACTTTGAGTGCTTACGGGGGAAAAAAATGCAATATATAAATGTAACATTCTTTCCAAACTAGTTTGTCAAACAAGTCCTACACACCTTATGACTCATTTTCCTTCATCTATTTACTGCATTTTAAAAATCATTTGTTTTTCTTCATTCCATTCAATGTATTCAAACCAATTTTAGATAATTTTTAACTTTCTAGCTAAAAATATCTACTTAATTTCCTAATTTCATTTCTTTCTCCTCACCCACTTTCAAGCTGTGATACTCCCCGTTGTGAGGTGAGAAATAAACGAATGATTAGATAATTTTAGAAAGAGAATGGTGATAATATAGGTTAAAAATATTTTATAAAAGGGAAATATATAGGAGTGATGTTTAGTTTCTGGTACTTTATTACATATTCTTGACTGGTTAGGATATAAATCCTTATATTCAGTTAGTTAAGTATTTATTAAGGATCTCCTGTATACTTAGCACCACGCTATAGCATATGTAAGATGCGTGCCATAGCTGCTTTTGTTCACTCATTCATTTATTTCTTCATTATATATTGAATAAGCACCCTCTGCATGCGAGACTCTATTCTAGGCACTTGGGCTATGCTAGTAAACAACCCAGACAAAAATCCCTTTTTCCTTCATAGAACGGGGCATTGAGGACCTTGTATTTTCTTCGTAATGGACTTGCATGTGAAATCCTAAGCACTTTTAAAAGTTTCTAAACCTAATAGAAGTGCAGCTTTCTGACTTTCTTGCACTTTGGGGTCATTCTTTAAATCAGAGATTTGCTTTCCAAGCATTGCTGTTGATTCTTGAGCTCTGCACACTGCTCTTAGCCAAGGGCCAATGGCATAGTTCCTCCTAAAAAGCTTGGATGTACTTGGGGAACCAGCTCTTGTCCTTTCAGGATCTATGGGCAATTCCCCGAGTAAAGGTAGAGAACTGCTCTATTAACCAGTTTCACTGACACTTAATAAGTCATCCTCTGGGTTTTCAATTTAAAAAAATCATTGGCCACTGACTACAAGGCAGATGCTAAGTGACTACCACATGAGAGGCTAAACTCGCCTAATGAGTTTATAACCCACGGGGGCAGAAAGTGTTGTGCTATCTTTAGAATTACTGTTTGTACTTACAGATGAGCAAAAAAAGGACTCAGAGCAGTCAATGACTTGCTTGGTCATTTAACAGTTTTTAGTTTTGGTTTCACAGTTTTTGAGAGACAGAGCTGGAATCTGAATCTGGATCTGACTCCAAAGTTCACGTCTTTTCTCTCGTGCCACACTGCCACGTAGGAGGAAAGATGATATGGGGAAGGTGTATTAGAACCATGTGGAGAGCCTGGGGCTTACATCAATCGTTAGATCCATGGGGAGACACTGGAGGTTTTTGAGCAAGGAAAATAGAATCCTTTCCCTCCGCCGCCACCCCCAGGACCACGTTTAGGAATGAATCTTTGCTAGAAACCAGTGGGAAGTGGTGCTCTAGGTGAGAGGCAGTAGTGTGGCAGCAGACACCAGGTGACACGTTGAACTGGTGTGGTGGCAGGAGGGTGGTAAAGGGGATGCAGACGTTATTGCCAGAGAGTGGTAGAAGCCATAGGATCAGATAAGCCATTAAAAAATGGAAGGAGAGGAGAATGGAGGGAGAACTCTGAAATATGACTGTGATTGCAATTAAGTAATGTCATGATAATGGTGGAGCGGGAACAGTAGGTTTGGGAGAGTGTAGTATTTCCATTTTCATTCAGTACATTACATTTTAAGTATTGACACGCCACCAAATAGAAATAACCAGGAAACAGTTGGGCTTCTGGGTATGAAAATCAACACGGAATAGATGTGGATGTCAATTTGAAATCACAGGAACCAAAAGGAGGGTCAAAGAATTAGGACGAAAACCAGGAGAGGACAGGAGAGCCATGAACACCAGAGTAGGTGATTTCAAGAAGGAAGAGGCCATCAGAAAATCAAAACCTGAAGAGCTGACTTCCTTGTCCTCGAGTCCTGTGGAATTCCCATCCCCTGACTTTGTCTCCTCCCTCTTGCTGAAAGCCTTTCTGGATTCTTTTATGCCAAGCTGCCCTGACTCCTAGTATTGGCTACTGATTCCTCATGGCAATGTCAGAATCTTCTTTTCTATCCCAAACCTGCCCTCAACCCAGCACTGACACATTATATTCCCTCATGGATATTTTTTTTCAAATCTAAACAAATTGTTTGATACCAAAACATGATGGGATTTTAAAGTAGCAAGATTTATTTCTATAAGTCATGTATGAAAATTACTTTCATTGCCTAAATTCACAATATGTTTGGAATTTTTTTTTGATACAAAGTATATTTGAGAATCTGCATTGTCTATACCTCAATCAGATTTCTAAAGTAAATTCGTGTTTCCCCCAATATAGTTTTTTGAGAGAAACACTTTACATTTCTATTTGTACCAAAGTAAATAAATTTAATGACAATCGTTATTTATAGTATTGAGATCCTTTCGTTGATATTAAGTTTATTAATTTAACATATTTGTGGTTTCTGATTTATTAAGTTCAGGAACCTTTGATTATTCCTTAGGGAGTATGTGCTTTTCTGATAAGAACATTAAAACATTCACTTTTTAAACTACTTGATTTGAAACATCAACAGTAAATAATGTTTATTTTAATATTCCCTAGAGGTCTTAGTCCTTATTCATTATAAATTTCATGGGAAGAACTTTAAACAAAATCATGATTTCAGCAACCCAGAGAGAGATCAAGAATTTTCTGATTGTGGCTAAAGCTAGAATAATAGTTGGTAGGTTCTTTGGTATGTCTTGCAAGCTCTTCATTCTGGCATAGATGAAGAGATTCAGACTAGAAATCCCTGCACTATGGACCTGCCATTAAAGATCTATTATGTGAATCCTTAAGGCTTCTAGACCAACTGAAGTATAGGGCAGAAACAGCCAAAGATCCACTATTAACGAGACCACAGAACACCCAGTTATTTGATGTGCTGATGGCCCAGGTCTTCAGCGGGTCTTCAGTGTCTAGGGATTCTCAGGTTAGAATTCATGGAACTGGAATATTCTATCAGAGTCTTGGAATGTCCATCAGTCAATATCTGTCAGCAAGATCTCTTTTTATTACATACTCCACACCAAGCCAGGGATCATGGAGGATCCAAGAGGTTCATGGGACATGGCATCTCATTTTACTGTCATCTCCCTAAAATTTTAGAGACGTAGAAAGTTTTATATAAGCAATGTTGAGGAAACAAAATATATTTATTTTTATTTCTTTTTT